AGATCACTTTGGTTACGATACCAAGAAATAATTTGTCTCTAATGTTTAAATAAACAAATGCACAATCACTTTTAGTTGTAAAATTTCAAATACTGCTGTTCAGAAGTCAGCTAACAACGAGACCCTCGGTTTCTGGTTGTCATTCGCTAATCTATCTGAGATAGTTGGTTATTTATTGACATTATTGTAGAGCAGAGGTATTTAAATATATCTATTCTTCTGAACGAAGTTCAATGTAGGTAGACCCTGATGTTGAAATAGACGGAACAATTATATTTTTTTTTTCTTTATCATCTTGAAGACCGATTTGCTCTGCGTCTGTTTTCACAGGCTGAGTTAGTAAGTCATTATATTTAATTACTAAAAATTAAATATAAAGCCTTTGCGATTTGTTTAAACAAGATACAACACTGATATCGCGAACGGCGGTTTTCATAGAGGAAAATAGTAAGCATATCACTTAATGTTCACGTTTTGAAGGGCCTTGAGTCCATAAAAGTGATTAGATGAAATTCCTTAGATTTCATTGTCTTCTATTAATAAATTAGTCAAAACATTAAAAATTTCTGATCAGTTACTAGGAAGGGATGGAATCTGAGAAGAAATCCTTGACTACGGACTTATAAGTACTCAAAATATTACTAAATGTTGAATCTTTACGACGACAACTGTCGGAATTAAAAACTAATGTGAAACCAAAACCAATTAAAATCCAGATTGCCTATCTATTATCTCTATAAAATGAGCATTTTCTCTATATTTGTCACATTTTAATATAATATTTTTACTAAAGAAAGGAATAATAATATTTTTTCTCCTAAAGGAAACGTTTTTCGAAAAATTATTGAAGCAATGATAAAAATAAAAATTTTACACAGAACTAATTATTGTTTATAAAGCTTATAATTGCTTTAGCAGAATTCGCTTTTATTTTTTATATTGATAGAGGAATATAATCGGTGGTCGCTTGAACCTAATAAATAGCACCAAATATAGTCCGGTAACCTTTTTATAAAAAAAAAAAACTTTTTTTTTTTTTTTTTGTGTGTGGGATGTGACTGAGATGCAGAATCGAAGTTTTCGTCTTCGGCGCTTTTGAAAATCCCCAAAACTGCTAGATTTTTCCCCATTTTGACCGTGAAGAAGCACAAAAAACATCCCATACATGTTTAAAACTAGATTAAATTCGCTACGACTTAAGACGAACACAGGTTCAGTAAGTTTAATAATTTTTGAGATACAGATTTTGGAAATAATTCGAACTTGAAAATTTTAAGCTATTTTTCATGTTTGATCGTATCCAATTGTTTTTATATATTCAATAACCTATCTTGTATGATCAGTGAAGTAAATTTTTATTCATTTAACATTTGGACGGAGGGGGGAGGTTTGGTGTGAGAGAAAAAGATCACTTTCCACAACCCGAAGACTGAAATTGAAATTAAAAAAATTATTTAACAAACATTTACAAAAATGCATACAAAAATTTTTAATGAAGTGAATGCATACAAAAATTGAGAATGAAGCGAATGCAATTTTCAAAGCTTGAAAATTTTTAGCTAATTTCCATGTTTATGTCTTCAATAACCCGCCATATAAGAGTTAGTGAAGTAAACGTTTATTTAATTTATTATTTTAAAGGAGTAGTATACGTGGATATAGGAATGGTTATAAATGATAAGAAATTAAAAATCTATGATGATTTATGTAGATCTAATATTATAAGTTAAGTGATAAAATAAGTGAGCTAGAATAACCTGAGCCATTTATTGCATTCGATTTTCATCTTAATAAACCAGCAGGAAATAAAAAGGGCTTACCACATCTTTCAAAACTCTCCTCGACTCTGAAATTTAATTTCAGAGAGCAATGTTAGATATGGAAACATACCATAGCAATAGGTACAAATATATAAAAAATCGAAGAAGAAAAAACCGTTAGAAAGTTTTCGTTATTGTTGGTTATTTAATTAAAAATGAACCTTTATTTTCAACTTTAGTTAGGACGACTTTACTATACTGATATTTTTTTTATTTCAAAGGCCAATTAAAAAAAAAAAAAATTATTATCAAGTTTGACGAAATTAAGCCAACTGCTGACTCCCAGTGACCGAAAAGCTAATTCAAGTCAAAGTCGTCAATCCGTCATGTTTGGACGCCGTTTTGGGACTGTGCAGGTACATTTTTGTGGGAACATTGGCCTTTTTTTACTTTTTTTACTCAACGATATGCAATTTATAGTGATTTGGAGGTAGAGTGTACAGAGGAGGAGGGTCTGGCCCACGAACTACCCTCTCCCACCAAATCCTTATCCTCCGCCATCGGCCTCCTTTAAAATATTGAAATGAATAAATATTTACTTCACTTACTCATATCAAACAGATCATTGAAGATAAAAGACAATTGCATATGAAAAATAATTTAAATGGAAAATAAAATTTTCCATAATTTTAAAACCTCTATCTCGTAAATTATTTGCTTTACCGAGCCTGTTCTGGTCTTAAATTGTTAAATATTTAATCTAATTTAAAAATGTATAGTGTGATTTTGTAGAAAGCATGCTGTTTCGTGAATAAAATGGATAAAAAAGTGCGAAAATATAGCTGTTTTGGAGACATGCAAAAGTGATACGGAGAGGAGGACAAAAACTTGGATTTTGCATCTCAGTCATATCCTATAAAAGAAAACCTTCAATCCTCATTTAATGCAACTTACGGTATAGAAGGTTACTGGGCTAATAGGAATCATATACTAGCTCCTTCTAGCTTTAAGTAACTGCTTGAACTTAAAATCCAAGTTCGGAAAACACGTTTAAAATAATCCTGTATTCACATATCTGATTAAAACTTATTATACATAAAAGTAGCTATATCAAAAAATAAAAATGTGTGATGATGAACATGAAATATAAATTAGTATTGAACTTTCCTCTTTACAGTTGAACATGGAATCTCACTCCGCCATTGTTCAAGGTCTTTCTGTTTAATTCTCTGTGTGAAATCACTATAATTTAAGATAATGAGTCAGTTTCGACCGGTTGTTGAACAGTTTCATATTGTCTCGCATTTCCTTATATTTGTTGGCTTAAATCTGCTGTTTCCATGTAATTGGACATATTTTAGGTTACTTTCCTACCGCTACTAGCCAAGGAAAGTATTATGATTTGATCCAATTTCTGATGTGCTGTCTTCAATGAATCGTTACGTTTCAAGGCACCTTGAATAAAAAATAAAAAAATTTCAGCCATTCTGTCTGTGCCAAGATTATCTCGGGAACGAGTGGAATAATTTTGTTTTTTGGGGCTTTGGCTACTCATGATAGTAAAACAAATTGGGCGCTCCATGCATTACAAGGGAAAACATGTTTTCTATTGACTAGTGTTGCCCAAAATCGGTCTTGGTCTTGCACTTTGTAAGACCAAGACCAACACCGCCTATCTGTTGTAAGACCAAGACCAAGACTGGTAAAAAAAAATGAATTTTTAAATAAAAATTTAGGCAAAATAGTTACTGATACTTGACAATTTTAGTTAGTATATGTAAAGAATTGGTGTAATCAATATATTTTTGCGTTTAACTCTTCTAATTTTTCATTCAGACTTATTTAGTTTCTCATATCTAAAAAAATGCAGTAATATCTCTCTAGTAATAAGCTAATAGGTAACTGCAAGACTGTTACAAGATTCTTGCGCAAGACCAAGACCTAGGCCAAGACTGAGTTTGCAAGACCAAGACTCGTCACGGTCTTGCATTGGGGCAACACTACTGTTGACTCTAACACAAAAACGGCTCTAACGATTTTGATGAAACTATCTCTTCTACATCATAAAGTCCTTTCAATTTTCATACGTGTAGTGAATTCCCTATTAAATTCAAGAAAAAAAAAAGTTAAAAAGGAAACAGTTTTGGGGCTAATTCACAAACTATACATACATGGTATAGTTTAAACAGAATATTTTGAAAGATAACAAAATTCTCCACAAAAAAAAATCATATATAGGAATCGAACCTGTACCAACGATACAGTGTATTCTACTTTCTATATATGTTTTTACTAATTGCCTACTGCTACTAGGCAAGGAAAGTATTGGTATCGGGTCAAATCTGCCATTTTAAACAAATCTTTAACGGAATCAGAGTTTCCTGAATCCGAAACACACAATTTCATCCTATTTTTCTTAAATGTTTTTTTTAATTTACGCAAAATTATAAAACCGAAAATACTTTAAATCGGGGCCAGTTTTATCTAAATAACAACAGAATAAATTTTATGAGCTGATTTAAATGATGGTTCACGGACTCTAAATCGTGCTCTAATTATTTATGTGATCGGTTTCCAGAAAAATTAATCTGATTCAATTTTTGAAGTGGAAACTTCTTTAGGCCCGTTACGCGGAGAGTGAATAGATTGAGCCGTCAGATTTCCGATGTGTAACACTCGGGGAAAATCGGATGGAGTCGAGTAATTGAAGTGTTTTTGCTTTTGGATTAAAGCATATAAAAAACTAAAAATCGGACCTATATATTGTTAGCAAAGGAAATGTTCATCGTTTCATCATGTTTGTAATGAGCTATTATTCAAAATTGTATCTTAACGTTACGCCGTGTTAGAGTAGCAAAAAAGAAAAAATAGTGTCAAACATGATAACGAATTTTATTGAAGATATGGATTAAAGTATCTCAGAAACTAAAAATCGGACCTGCATACTGTAAGCTACGGAAATGTTCAGCATTTCATCTCCTTTATAATGAGTTATTGTTTATAATTTATGTTTCATATTATTAATCTCGCCTTGTTGATGTTTTCAATTCTATCGTATGGTCCAAAACACACCTTAGTTGTGTTTTTAAAATGGACACAGGTAAAATTGTATACATTTTTCTAAGATGGGTAGGAAAGTCGTGTGAGGGGGCGCACCAGATTTTTCAATTCTTAAATTTGAGGCTATGCTTAAGATGTACTGACTGTACTTACTTCTGCGTTTCCAATAAACACATATAAGTTATGTTTATTACCGGTTAAGTACGACGACGTTACGTCAAGGTGGACACGGAAGGATGAGCATTTGCGATAATGGCATGTGAACAGTCGAACAGTGGAGAAGCGTCGGGCAACATGTGGCTCTTCATATCGCGCCTCCTGCGCTCCAACAGGTTGGTCTCAAAGTTTCCTTGACATTTTGGCCAATATACTAATAATACTTAAAAAATTTTATACTTCTTGTTGATAACGGCATTTCAATTAATTAAATAATAATCATGTTTTATTGAATACAATGTTTGTAGTAGCTTTCTGAATCGAATATAATGATGAAGTTTTTTTTCTCATTATAAAATTCATCTGGATATTCATACCTATAATGGATTATTTTTTTTTAATAATCTTTCGTATCCTTTTAAATATATATTAAAAGGTCACTGTCTTAAAAAAAAACCATTAGTAGTTTTCTACTATATATACACATATAAGTGTAAAATCAAACATTTTGTATCAAGTAAAGATCTCGCTACAAGATGAAAGATCGAGTTGCAAGTTCCTAGAAATAAGGAAATGCATTCCAGACACACCAAGTGGTAATCCCCTGTTTGAGGCAAATGTACTTTAATTGACTGGTTTAGCCTTGATTTTTTGTGGAATTATATATTCCTCTTTTAGTTGTCATGTTTGAAAAAAATTGTTTCCTTTTTATTAAGTACTTACAAGGTACGTTGGAGCTGTGAAAACATTAATTTAATATGATCCTCTATTATTTTTAATCTCAAGATATTTGGTAATGTGTTAGACATTGGCGCACATTCTTGATAGTTACAGAAAAAAAACCCAAGCTGTGACAAAAAAAAAACACTTAAAAATGTTATAATAAATAAATGTTATAATATATGCATACATTCACATATAATTATATAAACACATATGAAATATATGCATAAATAAAAAAAAGATCTCGATCAAACCCACCCCCCCTTCTCACAAAATACTGCACCCATGATCCTTCATATATTGTATATTGTAGGTTAGATGTGTATGAGTACACACACAAGTTTTTGAAACTGTATACGATTTTTATTAAAGAATTAATTTTAATAATCAATAACCAATTTACAAATATAGTTTTTAATCATTCCAATTTTTATAGTTGCTTGTTTGTTGGTTTGTAGTTGTTCAATTTTTTTTTGTCGAAAACGTATTATTTTTCATGAAGATGAAAATTTAAAAAATAGATAAATCTAGATGATAGATGTAGCAGCATTACTACCTCCGGCCTGATTAATAACTGAATCAGTGATAATTTATCACCATGTGATATAAAAATGTAATTAAGAAGGATAGGTTATACGAGGGTAGAAAGTTATGTTAACTAAACGATTGTGACACTTGTAACATTACTCATATATAAAAATATTGTTAATATAATATAGCTCTCACTGTAACTAACGTCCAAGAGACAGATTGTTGTATTACTCAATAAAAAAAAATATAGTATAAGAGAACATCCCTTTGTAAGGCCGATCTCTAACACATGTAGTTGTAGTTAAGAATTTTTGTGCGATCATGTTAATATTGTTAAAATAAATATATTTATCAACTGAATTTGCATTACCTATCTAAGTTATATTAATAAATGTGTAATATACACATTGTGCAGGCATTAATTCTCACGTTTGTTTAATAGTATCCTGAACTGAACAAGAAAATTTAATATAAAATATTATACATCATAGTCGGTATATATAACCAGAAGCGCTCTTGATATTTACAAAACTTTCATCCAACTTGAATCTGTCTTTAACCATTCAATTTATTAAAAATACGAAGTCATACTGTTCATTTAGTACTTAATAGAGCCTAAGAATATTTTATAATATATAATTTAAAAAATATGTATAACTGTGACAAGTATATGGGGTTGAGGATTATCGAAACTGTAATGTACTGACCAGAGAAAAATATAAAAATATTCTTCATTAAAAACTGAAAATTTTTGCTTGTTTGTAGGTTTGTAGTTGTTTAAAATTGATATTTTAGATGATTAACATTTAATATTTCTTAGACATGATAGTCATACTGTTCATTTAGTTGTTAATAGAGTCTAAGAATATTTTGGCCAAAAAGTAAATAAATAAAATATTACCGTTTTATTTTTATATTTTAGAAGTTTGTATTTCATAATCGTTGAAGGTATGAAAATGTACTTTATACCACATTAAATACAAGTTGGGAAATATTTCATTACATAGCTAAGTGAAAATTGCGACCTTAATCTTAAATGTTTTTAATAAAAATCTAATCCCATGGATATTGGATGTGGATAAACTGATCTGGATAACATTTTATGATTTTATATTTTAAAGTAAAAATCAGTTCTCTTATCTATTATTGCAAGTGGTTATCACGGATTATTGCATATTCATACAAACGATTCCATAAATAGCTATTCTTCAATAATGAAGAATGTAGTAAATACAAAATTTGCTAAGTTACCTGATAAGGTTCTTCATCATATCTCATTGTATAAAAAAAAAAAAAGAAAAATTAAAATCTGACCATTTACACTTCATTTTATACTTGTTCATCATAGTGGAATAAGAATGAAAGAAATTTTTTAATATTAAAATGTGAGGCGCAATTCTTTATATGGATTCCTACATAATTTGACAAAAAGAAATATTTAGCTCAATGGAATTAGTTACAGAGAATCAAAAGTTATTGGGCGTCACTTATAATGAGTATTTTCCTAAAATAGATAACAAGAGGTTGAAAAGGGGTAATATAATAAGATAATAGACTGCAAAAAGAAAAAAAATAAATAAGATTTTATACCACATATTAGTATCATAATATGATAGCATAATTAATAGAGAAAATATAAAGCTATAATAGAAAATAATTACATACAAATTTATCCATCGTAGATACGAAGTCACTATACTCCATTAAACAAACTAATGTTACCCATGCCTTCATTTTATTCGCAGATGAAAATGTTTTTTTTAAATACACATTGTTTTTTATTCATTTCTGTAAAAAAATAAAATGTCACATACTTTAATGATTTGTGGAAACGACCATGCTAACGAGTCATTACATAAAAAAGTAATTTCCTACACCGTTTTAAAACATATTATTGTGTCTCAGTTGTCACAACAAAAAAATAAAAATTGCCCATTATGTTTCTCAGGCAAAATATATACTTAACAAGAGATAAAATTTACAATTATCATATACTAATGAACACAATTCTAGGTGCAGATATATACAAATGTAATTGTATGCAATGTTGATGTGCATATATATTTTACTTGTACATAGATATATAAAGTACCTATTAAATATGAATTTTGTATGAGAAAACTCTCTAAAAATTTAGAATTTGATTACAATATTTCAGGGAAATTACTATTGATAAAAGGCATTTATAAAAAATATAACCATTAGCTTTTTTTACTCAATGGTATGTAGAATTACTTAACGTTTCTACTTTAAAGGTTGGATATATGTTTTTTAAACAAATATTTAACATTCAACAGGATGCCACTTATAAACTAAAGGAAAACATAAAGTATAGCTGCATATAGGCGTGCAAAAGGCCTTCGTGGCTACTGTGTATTTTTCTACTTAAAAAATAAATATAAAATATATTTTTTTTATGTTGTAACAACTGAGAGACAATAATATGTTTTAAATCGGTGAAGGAAATTACTTTTTTATGTAATGACTCGTTAGCATGGTCGTTTCCGCAAATCGTTAAAATCTGTGACATTTTAGTTTTTCAATAGAAATTAATGAAAAACAATTTGTATTCTAAAAAACATATTCATCTGCGAATAAAATGGAGGCATAAGTAATATTTGTTTGTTTAATGGAGTATATTTACTTTGTTTCTACGATTAGAGTTAAGAATTTCAATTAATAAATTTGTATGCAATTATTTTCTATTATTGCTATATATTTTCTCCATTAATAATGCTATTAGCATGCAATCTTCTTAATTGACTAGCTAATTTACTAAATTCACTGGGCAAAATATTTCTTTTAGTCAAATTATGTAGGAATTCCATATAAATAATTGTGCCTCATTTTTCAATGATAAGACATTTATTTTATTCTTATTCCACTATGATGAAGAAGTATAATATATATATATATATATATATATATATATATATATATATATATATATATATATATTTACAATGATAATATGATGAAGAACCTTATCAGGCAACTTAACAATTTTTTTATTGACTACATTCTGAATTATTGAACTATTCTGCAATTGTTTGTATGAATATGCAATAATCCGTGATAACCACTAGCAATAATATATAAGGGAATTGATTTTTACTTTAAACTATAAAAACATAAAATTATCTCCATCACATTTGCTAATTGTCAACTTATTCTTGACAGGCGAAATACATATTTTATAGACAAAAAAAAAAATAATAATAAAATAAAATATTAAAGATCCATTCATCCAGATCCGTGTATCCACATCCAATACCCATCGGATTAGTTTTTTATCAAAAACATTTAAGATTAATGTCGCAATTTTCGCAATTAATGTGGTATAAAGTACATTATCATACCTTCAACTATCATGAAATATAAATTTGTAAAATATAAAAATAAAACAGTAATATTTTATTTTTATTTTTGGACAAAACTATTCTTAGACTCTATTAACTACTAAATGAACAGTATGACTTAGTATTTTTAATAAATTGAATGACTAAAGACAGATTCAAGTTGGATGAAGCCTTTGTAAATATCAAGAGCGCTTCTAGCTCTGATGTAAATTGTTAATGTTTAAATGATATATACTTTATATATACCGACCATAATGTATATTTTTTTATATTAAATTCTCTTGTTCGGTTCAGGATACTATTAAGAATACATGAGCATTAGTGCCCGTACAATGTCTATAATCTAAGTATATAGATTTTTTTAATTTTCGGCCTCATAGAAAATAATACAATTTCGATTAAAAAAAAAAAAATCGAACAACTACAAACCTACAAACAAGCAAAAGTTTTCAAAGTTTTTAATGAAGAATTTTTTTATATTTCTCTGATCAGTACTCTATAGTTTTTATAATCCTCAATCCCATATACTTGTCACAGTGGTACAAATATTTTTGAATAGGGTT